TAAATTAATAAAATTATTTTTATATATATTTTATATTTAATTATCATATTAATTGTGTATTGTAACAGTTTCAATTGCGAACTTTAAATACTCCCAAATTTATTTTATCTAAATGAAATTCGATAACCTTTAAAACTCTTTTTTTTTCTTTTTATTAACGGGATTAATTCAAGTGGTAAGTAGTTTAATATCGCTTAAGTTAAATATGTCTCAAGTTCGAGTTATTGTATATACAGAAAATTTCTGTTGAAAGACTTATCCACCAAAATTAGATGTACGACTCGAAGCAATCCGAACTAGTCAGAGCGAATACTTAAAAAGTGGGGTAACCATAAGTTTTCTTTTTCTTATAACTTAAATTGATTTTCCCCTTACAAAACAATTTTTTATAATTTTATTTAAAATGGTACCTTTTCCCAACAAAATGGTATAAATATATTAAAAGAGCTATGATGATGCTAATAATGATTATTCTTTTTCTCTTTTATCTATTGTTGTTGTGATTTAATAATATAAAGAATGCTTAATATAAGAATAAATGTTTAAATTAAATTATTTTTATTTAAGTGATTAAATTATTTTTCAGTTAATTGAAGTATTTAATATTATAGTATTATTATTTTAAGTGTCTCGATTGTAATAGTCGTTAAAAAATTTTCCTCAACCCTCTCTTCTCCTTCCCGTCCCCCCAACTCCTCTCACATTGACGACGTGAGTATAAGGATTAGACTAAAAATTTTTAAAGTTTTTGAGATTTTTTATGATATTTTTGAAAATTTTAAGTTTTTTTAAAGAAAATATATTTTCAAGTCTTTTATTTTAAATAATTTTTTTATAATTTATCAAAACGTGATACATGTCACTTAACAAAAAAAATTAACGGTTATAATATTTGAAGCACTTAAAATAATAATATTTATAATATTAAACACATAAATTGAAAAAATAAGTACATAAATAGAAAAAACATACAATTTGAATAATTATTTTTATATTAAGCCTATAAAGAAAGAAGAGTAGTGCAATGGGAGGAATCTACGTGGGAAAATTAACAAAGGAGAGAGACTCCGTGACCATTTTGTCCGTGACAACTCAACAACAATTCGAGTTGACATGTCCGATTTCAATAACGTAGTGCAACTTGAGGGGTATAATTGTCATAAAAGTCTGCACAGTTTGGTACTAAGGTTACACCCCACTTTTACAATAACCTAATATTTCCTTCTTACCGGTTACCAACCAAACAACACTTGAAACTCCAATGAATCCAACCTTTGGCCGGTCGCCACGTGATCCTTCATTAATGGTGCCTATGTGGATGCATGCACAATACGTTGGCATTTCTCAGTTTTCTCACCTCTCGTGACCCCAATATTTGGTGGTTTTTAGTATTTTGTATTCTTAATATTTTGATTTTTAATCAAAATAATATTTATCAAATTTGTTAAGTTAATTATTGTACTAATTTTTATACCAAAGTAAAATATATATTTAATTCATTTTTTAATTTAATATGTATCATAATTAAAATTTTAAAATTCAAGAAATATAGGAATTAAAATGAATCAAAATGGACTAAACTTATAATTTACATATAATACAAAGGCTTATGATTAAATTTAACTAATACTTTATATAAAATGGGAAATGGTCAAGGTAATGTGTTGGGAAAAACAAATTCCCAAAAAAAATTGTGCACTGAGAATTATTTTATGGGATAGGGTTATCGTTATAGTGTAATGGAGAAGATCCATGAAACATTACGAGTCTTTAGCTTCGCTAGGGAAGACTCCATAATTGCAATGCGTTTTTAGCTCTCTTGTGCTTGCAAGTATGAAGTCACGTGGAGCTAAAAATTTGTTGCAGTCTTGAACTTTTCCTTGACGAAGTTGAAGACTCGTAGTGTTCCTTGAGTCTTCCCTATTGCACCGTACCAATTACCCTATTCAAAATATTATAAAATATTTTAGAGACTTCGTTTTAAAATGTAGCACAATGCATTCAAATTTATTGGGACTGGCCTGTGCTAGAGCTATTATGGGGACTTCCTAACAGAGCCTCTTTTGAAAATATTGTTCGAAGGACTTGAGATGAAGAGTATGAAAAAATCATTTTAAAAATTTTACAATATCATATGATAATTCATACAATTAACATGATTTATTATTTTTATTAATAATGTTAACATCATTATATTAATATGATACTTTTTTCTATTAAAACACCCTTTTATAACACACATGTAGTATTTATCATGAGTTGAAAATATTAGTTATCAATGGAAGAATGAGTATGAAAATTTGAGTAACCGAGGAAGATATGTTGTGGAGGGACGGAACTGGAAAGATATATTTTGTTCAACAATAGCAAAAAAAAATATGTTATCATTTTTATTATAATAATTATTTTCTATTTAGCCTATAAAACAACATTATAAAATTCGAGAGATCAATTGTTTATGTAAATAAATATAGATCCAATGAACATTATATATAGAGATGGGAATGGGTCTGTTTCGACCAACCCGACCCGACCCAAAAATTTTACATCATTCACCCCATCCAATGCAACTCGAAAAATACATACCCTCCACCTGATCTGATTTTTGAGATAAAAATCGAAATCGATCCGACCCGACCCGAAATAATAAATATATTATTTTTATTCAATAAAAACAATGATTTAATTGAAAAAACTAAATATATAGAGAGGCATTATTATATTTATTTCTAAATATATAAGGTAAAATTATATATTTTTTGGGTCGAGTTAGGTATTTTTCACCCTAAACCTGAATCCGACCCGACTCGAACATCATATTTAAAAAAACATGACTCGACTTTACCCGAACTTATTTTTTTTAAAAACTGACACGATCGGGTCAGGTCGGATTGGAACTCATCTGGTTTGGATCCCATGCCCATTCCTATAATATATATATATATATATTATTTTTATTAGGTAAAATAATAACTTAATTAAAACAAATAAATATTAGATTTTATTATAATCATCCTTGAATATATAAAGGATAATTATATTATATTTTTATTTGAATTGAATATTTTTCACCTTAAATATAAATTTAGTCCTTTTTCTTTAAATAATTGATCTTATAAAATTAATCAAATTAAAATATACCATATCCGAATCTCATGTTCATTCCAATTCATATCCAATCTTTCGGTTATCATTTAAGTAGCATGATCAACAAAATAATTTTCACTTTGCTTTAAGAAAGAAGAATAGAGGGGCAACTTATTAAAGGAGTAAAATAAATAAAAGAAATATTATTAGGTGTATAGTGGAATTAATTAAGATGACATTAAAAAAGTGATTAAAGTATTACTTTATTTAAGTTCAATTAAAGTTAATATATTATTTATGTTACACTCCTAATATTATAAAAATAATATTATATTAGCTAGACTTGTCAAAGCTCCCATCAATCATTTTATTTCAATTATCTTATGATTTCAAGAGTAATACAAAAAATCTATCTTATTTTTTCTCAAATAAAAAGGAAATGGTTTATTACAAATCTGTATTTCTTTTATTATAACATTAATAATTTAATTAATTTATATATCATAAAAATCACATTTAGATCTTTTATGGTTGGCAACTTTTAATCTATTTAATAAAGGTTGAAATATACTTATGTTGCATCCACCACCACATCTTTTGAAATAAATAAAGGTCGGTCCAATTCAATTTTGGTGTAACATTAAGGTTGACAATTGTGACTTTACCAAACCAAATCTACCCAAGATTTTCAAATCTTTATTTTATATTTTCGTCATCAATTAAAATATAGCTTCACCAACGGTGGATATGTGATAAGGACCAATTGACTTATTTCATTATTATTATTATTATTATTATTATTATTATTATTATTATTTGCAATTTTCCCTACTTTTTATTCCAACGACAAACAGAAAACGTCGAGATCACTCAGCATGTAAGAATCAGGTAAAATGTAATTAAATATATAAATTGTTGTTATTCACCTTTTTAAAATAATTGTTCCTTTTATCATAGTCTCAGTGAAGTGATATTTTCTACTGTAAATCGATACTGTGGGCAGAGATGGAGCCACTATAAAACTTCGGGGTACATATAAATAACAATAAGACACGTATAATAGTTGAATTCTTACATAATTAATTTGAAAGTTAAGAGTATTCTATTTTAATGGTTTAACTTTAAAATTGATAAGAGTTCAAAAAATATCTATATTTGAAAAAAAATATAGGTCATGGCTTAGTTCATAAAATTTCAAAATTAAGGGTCTTTTGTTTGAGGGTAAACTATTTATTTAGTCATCCAATTATCTTTTTGGTTCTGTTTTGGTTACTCAATTTTGTTTCTTCAAAATCTTCAATAACGTTAAGTATTAGTTTTATTTTGATTATTCGTCATTAAAAAAATTAACATAACTGATGATATGATGTTTTTAATGATGACATGACACTTTACGTTAACATGACATAACTAAAATGTAACGTCAGTGATGATTTTGAAAAAAAAATAATTGAGTAATTAAATATATAGTGTACCTTTGTTTTAATATAATTGGTTTCCTAATTTTTCCCCTTATTTCCTGATATTTGGTTTAAGTAAAATAGTTCGTGAATATAAAACTAATTACAAATTAATAAAAAAAAAGTTAATCTCTATAAAATGATTGATCATTTTTAATAAATTATTTTTTTCAATCCATTTACCATTACTTGTAATTAATTTATATCGATATAAATAAAATTGAAAAATAAAAAGAAGTAACTCACATCAATATAAATGGGTCTGGCCATCTGAGCTCTACATTTTTTGGGTTTCCCATATGAGCTATAAACCCAAATTATAAGTTAATTTGGGCGTAATTTGGAAGAGTATAATGTTTGGGCTTGAACCCTAACCCCAATTTCAGATCCAGCACGTCGTCCCGATTTAACCTTCCAAAACCAACCTTTACCATATTCACCTCCACCCTTGGAATTTTTTTCTTCAAATTACTACTTACCTGATCATCTGGTTCTATAAACCAAGCCCTAATTCTTCCAATTTTTCAATTCATTCCAAAAATACTCCCCCAAATCAAGAACCCGGCCTAGATTCCATGGTTTCGAGGAAAAAAGAATCCGAAGGGATTGCCTTGCTATCCATGTACGACGACGAAGACGACGAAGATGACGAAGAGATGGGAGACATCGAAGAAGGTGAACAAGAACCAAACCAACAAGCTGGGGAACAAGAAGAGGAGGAAGAAGAAGAGCGGCAACCTTTAGAAGAAGAAAACGAGTATGGAGAATCAATTAACAATATGGAAGACGATTCGAGAACTAACTATAATACGCCGCTGTTTCCTCACCAAAGCACATCTCTTCCGCAACAACAGCAGGAGCCTTCCGTTTCTTCGCCCCAGAAACATCAACTTGTGGTTTCTTCGAAGAGAAGTAGAGGAGGAAGGTTTACCATTGTTGATTATGCCTTTCCCAAGCCATTTTTTTTAATAAAATGAGTTTCTTTTATTGTTTAATGATATGTGATTTTATTACCTTTTCTTGTTGTGCAGGAAAGGGATTTAGGAAGTAATTATGACCTTATGATTGGTATAGAGCACCAAAATGCCAATGGTACTTATTAATTTTCTTTTGACCAATTTAACTTCAAATGCTACTTTTGAATTTGGTTGCTTACTAATTTATCATTTGTTTCCAGGTGTTTTTCAAGGAATAACGCTTCCGGCAGCTGTTCAATTGACTCCACAATCATCGGATTTAGAACGGATACAGCCTGAGGTCTTATGCTAATAGTGAATCAGAAGGTGTAGAAGTCGAAGAAGCAGTTTCCATAGACAATGTTGATCCCTTGGATAAGTTTCTTCCTCCTCCACCAAAAGCCAAATGCTCAGAGGAGCTACAAGTAAGTCTCTTTTTTATGCTATTATTCATGAATTATAATTGTTATGCTGGAACTTCTGTGTTTTCACACACACAAGGTAGGTGTAGTTAAGGTGTAGATGTTGATTCTGGTTTCTATGGAGCTGACTAATATTTGAGTTTTATTTGTTTTTTAGTTAATTGTAATGTCAGTTTTCCGCTCTCTCTGCTGCGAGCTTATGATACCTAATCCTTATGTATGTAGTGTTTGCATGCTTCTTTTGCATTTTTATATCAATGGGTATATCTCTTGTCAAAAGTTTAAAAATGATCCAAGTTTTGTTGCTTTTTCCTTCTGTCTTTTTTTTAAATTATTTTTCATAACCTTTATTTCTTTCTTGCTTCCTGCTACAGAGGAAAATAGATAAATTTCTCAGCTTGAAGCGAGTTTTGTTGGACAAGAAAACAAAACATATAAAAGGGTAAATTGAGCTTATCTTTGATATTTAAGATCAGATCAACAACAATAGTAAAGTAGCAATCAACAGTTAAAATGGAACTGCAAAGCAAAGGCTTTACAATTTTTGTACATCCAGAGTCAAATGATGAACTTCTTGGAAGCACTGGTGTTGGAAGTGCAGGGTAAATCTGAGCTGGGTTTTGATATCTTTTGGATGTTAGGTGAGTGACATTTTTTAGTATGATGTTCTTTATCATAGTTTCTTCTGCCGACTTCTTTAATTTCTGCAGGAAAGTTGGGAGCGTTGTTTGCATCAATACCTTTCACCATATTTGCTGCTGTGTATTGCGTTTCGTTTGGTTACATCGGTATCAACACCTTTCACCGTAGGACTATTATTTACTATATTGTGTTGCATTGCTTCTGACTATGGCTCTAATTGCTTTCCGCTTCCGTGGGGCTATCATTCTTGCAATTGACCAACATGAACTCCTTGAGAAACCTTTTTATCTTTGGCGTCGCATTGTCTTAGGTTTGTCGGTTCCCGAGTACTTTAGAGAATAAACTGCCAAGGCTCTACACGGTCCTGCTGATACCAGGGCTGGATGGGTGAGTCTTAACTCCTCTGCATATCAACATACCATTGACTTGTACTATTTTTGGCATGCTGTTCAATGATTTCCTTAATACCATCTTCTTTTCATCTCCGACGGTTGCATTGATTGTCGCCGTACTCTTAGACAACACTTGACTATAAAGACAAGGCCAGAGATAGAGGAATGCCATGGTGGGCTAGTTTCCGATCATTCAAAGGTGATTGCCGGAGTGAAGAGTTTTATACACTCCCCTTCATAGATCATCATCAACAACAACAGTCGGTCGTTTGTATATTTTGGCTTGGATTATTTAGGTTTAATCCGACATCAATTCGTTATGCTTCGCACTAGTAAGGATCGGTTATTAAATTAAATTCTTTATTAGGTGTAATCTTGGCTTGCTGCTAGCTCTGACAGTGTTTGCAACAGTGACTTTGCACGAACTCTGTGAATCAATGTGCAATGCACCTTTTGCCTTTGAGGAATATGATAGTATGTACATTTTTCTAGCAAAACTGGGAAAAATTACACTTGAGTCAAAGGAATGAAACAATAGAGCAGCAAGAACGAGTGCAGCTTCTTGGGTGTCAAAGGACAACTTCCCAACTTCTGCAACTCCACCAGAGAAACAAACCTACAAGCACCGGTGGTAGAAAGCTTGTAGAACCATACCGAGTTCTTGGAGCGCTTGATGAGCAGAGGTATTTGGATGAGCCTCTTGCAAGTTGCAACATTGTCCTCTTCGGATGAAATAACGGGAGCTAAATCTCGGAGCAGTTGTTTATCCAACTGACGTTCGGCGGCATCATATTTGAATATGTTGCCACCTGATATACTAGAAGGTTTTATCTTGCATTAGTTAAACATGCAAAGAAAATGCCACACTGCAGATCAGGAGGTAATGGATCAAAGCTGAGACGGTTACCGAATCCGAGGAAGTGAACAACTTTGTTCTTTGCAAGGAGGGGAAGTACTGTGCCGACATAACCGTTAAGCTTTGCTTCCTTTGGTTTATCTGCATCAGTCATCTGTATTGAGGTTAACAGAAAACGGAACGCGAGATTGGATGTATGAAAGCGAGATTGGATGTTTTAGACTTTCAATGCAATGCGGAAACTTAGAAGACAACTTATAAGGCATACCAATGGCTTCAATATCTAAGGAATTTAAATGTGGATGAAGTTCCGGCACAATATGTACATCATCCTTCGACATATCTTGGATTTTAGTGTAGAAGTAACATATTCGGATCCATTTGATTGGTTGTCGTTAAGAAGCCTACCTAGGTGAGGGCAATAGGAGCTAAATTTAGAACGTTGCTATACATGTCAGCGGATGGCCTTTCCTCTTGAACATATGCAACACTATCCTCAGCATACTTGCACTCAAAAGGTATCAACAACTAGTTGGTGTCCGTAGGAGTTTCTCGTAGTCGAACCAAAAACCGACACCATAACAGAATCGAGCAAGAACATTAACTTTGTATGCCGTCAAAATCAAAACGAACACAATAGCAAATCAACTTCGCGTTCAGGCGAAACCATGTATGCCTCTTCCCAACAAGAACACCCTTACAAGGAATAAACTTCCCAACATTAATCTTATACGATCTGATTTCGTGAAGTCCTCACCACCCAAAATCAGACCCACTGGCTATTACTCGTAATCCCAGCACGCAATTACTAGGCTTTTAGGCTACGGACGAATACCAATCATGATGCCAATAATTGTTCAAGCATTGACCCATGGCTTTGTACTGGAAGATTTAATGCATACAGACTCATATCTATCCTAAAAAATGTGTAATACATGTGCTATTTTTTAAATGGAACTCTTAAAATATTTTATAATAAAGATTAAATTTATCAAATTTTAAATTATTAAGAATTTATGAGATTTTTTTTAACAAAATTCATCATGAAAAATAATAAAGATACTGTTAAAATCTTTATTTGCAATTTTTTTCTGTCATTTTCTTGACAATCAAACAAAAACTTCGTTTTTCCTTCCAAAATGTGGATAGGACACAAAGATTGTACATAAATGAACTTAAATGGTATTTATGTATGGGATCGTTAAATTTTAAAACCTGATGACATATGATATACTATACTTGTATATAAACAAACTTTTTTTTAGAGAAAATATATGGACAAACTTGGATAGACTATATAGGGAACCTGAGGTTTCAGACACCAAATAGGTATTGTCTCCAGTCTGACCAGTAAGAAGGATTGGTCGGTGACCAATCTTACCGACGCAACCACTAGGTCATTATTATTATTACATTCAAACTCTTTTCACTTTATTCTTCAATCCGTCAATAAACCAAGCCATAGTAAAAAATGGACTTTCCCCATCATTTTAAACGTTGGATACAGTCACCCAAAGGTAAACAAAATTGGTTCATATCAGTAGCCCATTCATGCTAAGATAGAAAAACCCCAAAAACACTATATAATTAGGGTTGGACATTTTGATTCGTGTATGATAGATTTTGACTCGATCCGAATTTACAAGATTATTTTTTAAAGAAAATCATGTTCGAATTGAGTTTTATTTTTTTGTAAGATGACATTATGTCTAATTCAATAGGGTGAAAAAATCAATTCGTTTCGACATGAGAAAATAGTATAATTATCTTTTATATATTTAGGAATAATTGTAATAATACATCTCTCTCTATATTTTTTTCAATTAAGTATCTATTTTACATGATAAAAATGTTTTTTTATATACTAATCAGATTGAATTAGATCGATTTTTTACTCTAAAATTTAGGTCGAGTTTCTAGTTGGGTGAAACCTCTTTAAATTCATGTTAGATTAAATACAGATAGAGGGATGTAATACTTGAATCAGGTTCGGGTTGACCAAAAATCGAATCCAAAATAAAATGACCCATAACCATCACTATCTATAAAATACATAAATAATCCTTTGATTATGAAATATTTTTATTGAATCTTTATTATTTTAAATGTGATGACTATTTTATTTTTTTTTCATTTCAAAAAAATAAAATAGTCATCACATTTATAATAATAATAATATAATTATTTTCTGTTAAAGTTTATTTTAGAAAATAATCAATTTATTACTTTCTAAAACCAAATTATAATTTTTCTATAATCAAAGGACTCAATCCATAATCTATAAACTACTTATGTATTTGATCCTAATTGTATTGTGCATGAAAAAGCTTGATGAATAAGTGGGTTTAGTTTATCCAAAATGGAATTGAAAAACGGGAGAGATTGCCAGAGAGGGTGGACAGCTGAATCATTCTTCTATGAATCTGAGTCAATAATTAGTTGGCTTCTGCAGGTCGCCGTTGGACCACCAAATGACTGGTCTTCGCCTTAATTAATAAATTAATTGAATCCCATTTAAATATTTCAACACAATAATTAATTAATAAAATATAATATTTAATATATGATTTCGAGATTCAAAATTGAACCACTAGTAAAAGAAGAAAGCTTTATATTTTTTACTTCGTTGATTTGTTCTTTTTTCGACAACCAAAGTTTCTATTTATTAGTTGAAACTCGTCCGTCTAATTTTATTTATTTTAACGTTGTAGACTGGTCGTACATACATAACCTAGTTCTAGTTGGCTACGTTTAGACCAAATAGTATTTTTTTGGTCATGGTAGCAAAGTTTGAAAAAACTATTTACTTTTATTTGCAAATAAAATTATATTGTTTATCAATTAATGTATTAAAATAAAATATTTTAAAAAAATAAAATAAAAAATTCAAATTATAATATTATAAATAAATAAAATATTATCTATAATGTCACAACTTAAAGAGACGAGAGACATTAAATTTATATAACAAAATTTGAAATTTTAAAACAATACAATTATTTTTTATAAAATGATGATGTTATACATTTTATCAGATATATTTTTTTAAAAAATATAATAATTTTACAATAAGTGATATTAAAATTATTATTTAATTTTAGATAAAAATAATTTAGAATCCGTAATAAAACTATTTATCAAACAATTTTTTTTATTAAAAAAGCAGAGTATAATTTAATAAAAAAATGCTTGAGAAATTAGATAAAGAATATTATGAAAGGGTGATTTGGGAAGTTTATAATAAAAAAAGGGAGCGAAGAAAACGGAAAGCAGAGGGAAGCCCGAGAAGAAAAGAAAAGAAATATATATTTTTTTAAAAGAAAGGAGGTGGTGGAATCACATGGGGCATTAGTTTGCTTGTCTTTCTCCCCCTATCTTCTCTGGCTTCTAATTCTTCTTATTTTTCTTCTTCATCTTCTTCTTCTTCATCATCATCTTCTTCATCATCATCATCCCCTTGTTTCTTCTTTTTTTCTCCTTCTGTAAATCTTCTGTTAGACTTTCTCCGATTAGATCTTTGTGTTTATTTTCCTTGGGTGCTCTTTCATGGCTGATGATAAGGTAAACCCAGTTTTTCCCCAGTGTATTTTTTTGTTCCAATATTGGAATTCGGAAGTGAAACTTGGGTTTCTTCTTTTCTTTTGGGTTTGGATTTTGGTGCGATTTTTTCATAGCTTCACCTTCTTCTTTTTTTGGTCATGGGCCTGCAATTCCAGCTGAAAACCCTGACTAAGCGTAGCTTAAACTAAAGGGTTCAGCTTCCGTGATTTTATGAGATTTATGGGGTTTATTTCTTTATTTCTCTTGTTGTTTTCCTATGGGTTTTAAACGAAACATTTTTTTGGTTTTCTGATCTTTTATTTTAGCGTCTATTGAGCTTGAAATTTTGGTCTGTATTTGTTTCGATCTGTGATCTCCTCTCTGCATTTTGCAATTTTCAATTCTGAAGTATTTTATTGAATTATCATACATTGTGTGCAGTTTAAACCAATTTATGGGTTTGCTTTTCTTTATCCTTTTGGACTTGGGATTGTTCACTTGGATCTCCAATATTTGTGTTGCTTTAAACTCTTACTTCTCTTTTTCACTTACCATGAATTTCTTAATTTACCAGGAAATGTCTGCCCCTGTTGTGGATGGGAAGGATCCTGTCACTGGTCACATCATTTCAACTACGATCGGAGGCAAAAATGGAGAACCTAAACAGGTATATGCCTTTTCAGGTTATCTGGTTTCGTATCTGTTCAAATTCTGCTCTGCTATTGACTAGTATGCGGTTAAAAATGATCATTAAGACTTATAATCAGCTTATTTTACTTGGAAGTTCATGTTTTTTTTTATGTTTTGCTTATTGTAGACTATTAGTTATATGGCGGAGCGCGTGGTGGGGACTGGATCGTTCGGGATTGTTTTCCAGGTACCAAGACATAGTATTAAAAGTAGTCAATGCTTTCTTGTTGATGTTTCACATGCTGATGCATATTTTTTTCTTTTAAGGCAAAATGCTTGGAAACAGGAGAAACCGTAGCTATAAAGAAGGTTTTGCAAGACAGAAGATACAAGAATCGCGAACTGCAATTGATGCGTGTGCTGGATCATCCTAATGTGATTTCCTTGAAGCATTGTTTCTTTTCCACAACAACTAAGGATGAGCTTTTCCTTAACTTGGTTATGGAATATGTACCGGAGAGCATGTATAGGGTTTTGAAACATTACAGCAGTGCAAATCAAAGAATGCCACTTATCTATGTGAAACTTTACACGTACCAGGTGTGCAGAGTATTCTTTTTCCCTGCTTGATTTCTTGTGTAATTTTCTTCTTTATGCTAATTAGTGGAGGTTTTACAGATATTCAGGGGGCTTGCATATCTTCATAGTGTTGTTGGAGTTTGCCATCGTGATTTGAAGCCTCAAAATCTTTTGGTATGCTTTTCTTACTAATTATTTTTGTAGAATGTTTTGACATTGTTCTTGAGGTATATTTTGGCTTTCTACAGGTCGATCCTTTGACTCATCAAGTTAAGATTTGCGATTTTGGAAGTGCAAAAGTTCTTGTAAGTCAACCCTCTCTATTATAATTTCCAAAGTGTTATACCTTTTAAATTTGTGACAGACTTTCTAGCCAATCAATTAGTTTTTCTCCAAGTGAAACATTGTTTTCGGGTCTGCAAGTTTCCAAAACTAACATAGGATTTTTGTTATGTTTTATTTGAATATTTGATTCAAGTTGTAAGTTCTAAAAGGATTCACTTCATGTAATATCATCAGCTCTTTGTTAAGGGCGCAAAGTATTTCTCTTAAGCTGGTTTCATATGTTGACATATTACCTTGATAGCTCTTCCACTTTATTTAGCTGCCTGAAAAGAATGGTTGGAACTTGGGT